GGTCCAAATGAGAGTTTCAGTGCAGCTTCAAAGGCTTTAAACGACACCAGACGATGAATAAAGACCTAATCAAGGACCCTTCGAGTCATGACTCAAAAAAAGATTTGTTCATTTTGTTTGAACAGGAGAGTCACGAACGCTCATCACAGAACAGAACAAGGTGAGTATTTGTGCTTATAAAACTTAAACGTTTTGATTTATTTTTTAAATGAGCGATTGTTTTGCTTGATAAGACACTTATTCATCGTCTGATGTCGTTTAAACCCCTTTGAAGCTGCACTGAAACTCTCATTTGGATCTTGTTTGGACCCCATTGAAGGCCATTATATGGAGAAAATCCTGGAATGTTTTAATCAAAAACCTTAATTTCTTTTCGACTGAAGAAAGAAAGACACGGAGATCTTGGATGACATGGGGGTGAGTAAATTATCAGCAAAAGTTTTTTTTAAAAGTGGACTACTCCTTTAACAATATGTGAAGTACTAGTGTTGTAACACTCTGATAAGCTATGACTTATTTGTAGCTACATTACATAAATAATATAGGTTAAAACATCAGTTATACTTAAACACCCTCCGTAGTTATTTAGAAAGAGCCAGACAGAGAGAGATTTAGAATTCAGCAGGATGTTTTCACAGGATTTTGAAATTGATCCCTTGGGGGTTTGATGGATGAGAGTCCATAATGCCAGGCCCTGTTGCATAATTCAAATGTTCCTACTCCATAATCCCCAAACGCCTTTTACACTGTCAGCTAAAAATAGACCAAACAAACAGAGGGTGGCATTCAAAATTGACCTGGTTCCATAAGCGATATACTGCCAACCAGAGCTTTTAAGCCGTCATACACTCACGTGCTCTACATGCTCTAAAGCTGTTTGGTTGCAAAACGAGGCAAAATGGACTGAATGTGCCGAGCAGCCGTTTAGACGAGAACACAAGACGATGATGCCCGAGCCTGGGAGGCAGATGGATCAGGCTGAGTGATATAATACTGACATATTTAGACGCGTTACGAGAAACCGCATGGCACTCTTATGGGTAAAAAAAAAAGTCTCTCAGATGGATTGTTTAATTTAAAACAGCTGTGAAAGTGACTGACAGTAACGATGTTGTGTTTTCGGCTTGATTTTGGAAAGATCCAATTCTGCAGATCAAGGCTGATGGATTCAAAGCGATTCAAAGCAATTCTTAACTGATGGCTGGGATTGTCTAGTATTCCTACGCTATCTCACGACCAATTCGTACGAGTGATTCAAAAGTGGCTAATTCGTACTAATTCATACGACCTCACTCGTACGAATTCGTACGATTTGTCTAAACCCACGTGACGGTTATGTTTAGGGGCGGGGTCAGGGGTAGGTCATTCGTATGAATTCATACGAATTGGCTAATTCGTAAAATATGTACGATGTAGTAAAATCGTACTAATTCGTACGAGTGAGGTCGTACGAATTGTTACGAATTAGCCACCTCGTAAAATTCGATCAATCAATGATGAGTCAATGATGGTAAGACCAAATCTGCAGAAAGCTGATGTCACTAACCCCGTAGGAATGTCATGTAGTCCATACCAGCCGTTTGTTGTAGTCCTTTTCTTTAAAAGCAAATAATGGTGATTCCATGAAATGGACTATGTGCGCGTTAGCATATGCTAGTCCCGGCTGCGAAACCGATATGGGGTGTCTAGTTTCCGGTAGCCTGATGGACGTCGTAGAGGATGTATGTTTCTCCAGATGTCTTGAACATTTGCCGAATATTACAGTCGATTATGTTCATCGACTGGCTAATGATTTTCCTCCAGCTCCCCAGAGAAAGAGAGAAGGGGTTTAAATATTACATTTCTCAGTATTTGCATCATTTTGAAGGGAACGTTAAGTCACAACAACATCCATGCTCAGACTGATCTCATGAAATTGCGTATGTATGACATGTATCACGTATTTTTGGCATCTCTTTTCAGCGTGTTTATGAATACCGTTGACTTAACGTTATTATTGTATATATATATATCCTACCATATAGGAAAAAATAAATATCGCTCCCCAGATGTAGATCTACATTTTGTTTTGTTTCGCTCGGACATTTGACGGCGTGTACATACGCGGTACACGTGGAATCACTCGGACATTAATGTTGCCATGCTACGTGCTCAAGCTATGCGAATTGGTAACTGTTATATCTCTCTATACATTATAAAATGCGAAATCATGCATTAGAAAGTGCATTTTCCAGAACAGTTTGTGCTGGTCATTGTTTTGTTTATGATGTTCAGAGGCTATGTTGTTGACAACCACTATCTATATAGAATGTCATATAGATCAGTGTTGACAACCACTATACATGTCATACAGGGAGTAAAGGTATCCGACGTTGGTTCGTTCGTTATCAAGTTAGGCTGTTTAAAGGTGCAATGTGTAACAAAGTTGAGTATCTATTAACAGAAATGCAATATGACATCCATAACTATGTTTTCAGTGGTGTATAAAGAACTTACTTAATTAACCGTAATGTTTTTATTACCTTAGAATGAGACATTAATAGCTCCATAACCGCGGGAATCCCCTTCTATGAAGGTCGCCATGTTGTGACGTCATATTCCTACCGTAGCCGAATGCGAACACACAGTGCTACAGAACGCATTTCATCACTACCTTGAAAGAGAAGTAGCAGAAAGCTAGCCTTACACTCCGTGAGTAGTGACTTCCCAGATAGCAGACTGACATTGAATCAACGTGGAAATATGACATCGAAACAACGTTGATCTGACATTGTTTTGCTCATCGAATTAACGTTGAACCAACGTCAGATGCGTCATTCTTTCAAAACTAACGGAAAATCAACTTGAAATCAACGCGTTGTTTCAACGTTATGAAAGCAAACCAATTTTCGATTTCATTTAGCTTTGAAGAATGCCGCGTCTGACGTTGGTTCAACGTTAATTCGATGAGCAAATCAACGTTGTTTCAATGTCATGAGAGACGTCGTTTCCACGTTGATTCAATGTCAGTTTGCTATCTGGGTTTTCCCTTGTGAGTGGTGTAAAATATGTAGTTGGGATTGTTTCATGTAACTTAGTTCTCCCTCGCTGTGTTATGGGTTTGTTATGTTGGGGATAGATGTGCTGTTACGTTCGTGAGACAGCTGATGATTAGTATTCATGTCATTGACCGTAAAACAGTACGTTACAGGAATCACTAACCCGTCGATAGAGACTTTTACTAAAGTCTTTTATCACTAAAGTCGATCGCGAAGATTTTTCAAAATCAGAGAAAAAAAAGCCTATTGTGTGTAGTAAATAGTATCTATGGGATGCGGAGATGACATGATTGTAACAGCGCGCGCACTTCCGACCTTTGGACTCATGCAGACGCGTCCCAGCTCAGCCACAGTAACAGCTCATATTAGCCAGCTAAACTATTACTACCCTGTTAGAAAAAATATATAGCTGCTCCCTCGCTGTATTATGGGTTTGCTACAGTATGTGGGGATAAATGTGCTGCTGGTTACGTTTGTGAGACAATCAGCTGATTAATATTATTTTATTAAATTATATATTAAAACCCTTGATCCTCACCTGACTATGGCTTTGTAAACAGTATTCATGATGTGGTTTATAATGGACTGTGGTACAGAAACAGTGACAATGTTACACACTCTTGGCTTACTCTGGCTATTCTCTGCTGTCTCAGCCGACGAGATGTTTGTCCCGTTTTAGCAACCGTAGCTTCTTCCAAAGGGAGGGGTGAGCAGTGGGCTGAGCCCTTAGTGCAAACCTGGTGCAAACTCGCAACCGAACCACTAGATGTCGCTAAAAATCACACATTGCTCCTTTAACACATATTAGGCTGTTCACACATATTTCTAAACAGGTCTCCCTTGCAAAATAGGTTCTAAACCCAGGGGCTTCTCCTGGTTAAAGGGTATAATATAATAAATAATTAGTAGCCTAAAAACTTCCTTCTAGTTGTCATGGATACGCAACGCTCCACTCTGTATAGCGACTGCTTGGGTGCGGTGACAAAATGTGAAATATCGTTTACTTTTCACAATGCAGCAGCGCCTGGCTCCACCCAAATATGAGTGAAAACTGTGTTGGTTGACTTGACAATGAACAAACAAACATAGTTTTAGACAAATATATTTAGATAGCTAAGCTTTCGATAGCCGGTCCACTGATGTAGGATGTAAACAACGGCAACCGGAACCGAAGTACCCAACATCCGCCCTCAAGGCGGAAGTTAGCATTTTTCTCGTGCACAGAGTCAATTATCATTTCATCTCATACTGTAGTTCCACCACAGTGTTTTTTTGTGGACAACGGAAAGACAAAGGACAAAGATGTTATGGAAGAACAGTATCCATTTGTAATTTAATACATGATGCTATAAAAAAATCCACAGAAAATTCACGGTAGCTTGTTAATTGGGAACTGGAGATACACATTAATAGGAAAGAGACACTGAAAAAGGTCACCCAGAGGTGCTTCGTAATGTGCTTATTTACTCCGAGATGGCTGAGCTGTTCCCAGGAGAGCAAGGGCACTCACAGGCCCACTGTATGGAAGTGTGTGTGGTCCATACCAAACACAGCCTCCTGTCTGCATTGTCAAACACCCAGATAAACAGAAGCATCTATACGGCAGCTTTAATCAAAACACATTACAGCTCCACAAGCACTGACTACAGTAACTGCTCATCAGGGCACAGCGGGACTCGCGCGCACACACACCCTTGAAGGTCGGCTGAAGAACGCGCATTGATTAGGAGCAGGATGGTGGATGTACAGTAATCACCTGCACTGCAGTGAAGGGGACAATTTAAGACAACGGATCACCGAGTGAGTAATGGATGTGCTTGATTTGAGAGGATAAGGATTTGTAGCATGCTACGTGATATCTCAGTATGCAAGACTGTTCAGGTGTAGACCTTTCATACTAGCACATGATGCACAGAGATAATGATGCCTTAAAACAAAGATTGAGCGCGAGTTGTGACTGACCTGGGCCAAGCTTGGCAACTGCATACAGCAGGTCGTAGTTAATAACCGGTGTGGTCTCGTCAATCTGTTGCCAGCCGACTGGAGGTGAGCCAGGAGGGGAGATGAGGAACTGTTTCGAGGGCTGGGGAGGAGCCAGGTGCAAATTGTCTCCTTCGGATGCTGGTTTCTGCACCTGAGAGCCAGAGAGTGTGTTAGTCCAGCCAGGATTCAGTCGAACCCAGACCTGACTGGAGATCTAGCCAGATGTTTCTCAAGTAACTATTCACAAATATGTACTATGTTTAAAATCTGAGAACATTATGCAAGAACAGCATTCTAAACAAAGATCTGGCAAAATCGAACAAGGGCCGCACTCCACATAACATTTATTCAATATATCTATCGTTAGTTCTATTGTTTTATCTGTTGCTCTATGGTTATATATCTATCTATCCATCCATCCATCCATCGTTAGTTCTATTGTTTTATCTGTTGCTCTATGATTCTCCATCCATCCATCTATCCATCTATCTATTCTGTTGCTCTATGGTTCTCTATCTATCTATCTATCTATCTATCTATCTATCTATCTATCTATCTATCTATCTATCTATCTATCTATCTATCTATCTATCTATCTGTCTATCTGTCTATCTATCTATATATCTATCTATCTATCTATCTATCTATCTATCTATCTATCTGTCTATCATTAGTTCTATTGTTTTATCTGTTGCTCTATGGTTCTTTTTCTATCTATCTATCTATCTATCTATCTATCTATCTATCTATCTATCTATCTATCTATCTATCTATCTATCTATCTATCTATCTATCTATCTATCTATCTATCTATCTATCTATCTATCTATCTATCTATCATTAGTTCTATTGTTTTATCTGTTGCTCTGTGGTTCTTTATCCATCCATCCATCCATCCATCATTAGTTCTATTGTTTTATCTGTTGTTCTGTGGTTCTTCATCCATCCGTCCATCCATCCGTCCATCCATCCATCCATCCATCCTTAGTTCTATTGTTTAATCTGTTGCTCTGGTTCTTTATCCATCCATCCATTTATTAATGTTCATGGCATAGTAATAGTGTGTCAGAGAAGTGACTATCACTTGGCAAATGCTAAGTTTGTGTTTTGTTGTTGTTGTATTATATGCAACTAACTACCTCTTCTCACCTGGGCAAAGTAGAGTTTGAGTTTCTTTCCTCTGAAAGGTGTCTCGTGCAGCTCTATTCTAGCACTGGCTGCTGCTTTGGGGTTACTGAAATTGATCCGTACACGTCGGAAGCTCTTAAACTGCTGGAACGTCACACCCTCATCGTACGCAAGGAAGAGCGCCTCGAACATTTCCTGAAAGACAGAAAATAAACAAGGTATATTAACAAGAGACGAATATTTCAATTCTGTTCACTGGCAAATGTCAAAACATGAATAATTCATGTCTTAACAGAGGGCAGAGAAAGTTTCTTCGCAGGAATGCTTCTTTACTGTGCCAGAAACAAGCAAGAGCTGTTCCACCAATATCAATCTCATCAGGGCCACGACAGAATGATAGCCAATAAATGTCTGCATGTCGCTGACAGGATGAATGTCATTGTATTCTTTATGAGACAGAGCAGTTTTTGGACTAGGCCCGCCTCGCAAAACATCCAATCGGCTCATCCAGAACTGGACCCTGTTCCAGAGACAGATTGGCTGAATCTGTTATGACACTTTATATTCATTTCCTGGGCAGGAGAGGAACTGATGAAAGCAATTCTATCTGCAGCTTGTCTCTCAGTTCAGTAATCAGTCCTGCTGGGCCTGAGCAGCCTTCAACACTTTCAGCCTAATGTGTTAAAGAGAGGATTTTCCCAAATCAAATGTATTCTAACCTTCACCATGAGGACTTAAAGGGATAGTGGCCTTTAAAGGGATAGCTTTAAGCTTTTCAAATAGCTTACTAAATAAGTAAAAACATGCTGTTATGAAACTCCTTTAGGGTAGCATCTGAAACAGGATTGCTGGAATAGAAACACCTTAGACCTATTAGTATTTTCCAAAAGAACGCCATCAAATGTGCATAGGCTATCACATTCCTGATTTGATTGTTCAGCTTAGTGAGGTATTTAATTGCATTATTTTCAGAGACCTGTTAAAATGGTTAATGTCTCAGTGTTGGGTTTGCTTTGCCTTTTAAAGGCATTGCACATAAGCACTTGGAAGTGAGGCTATTGTGTACACCAAAAATAGGTATTCAACATGAAATCCCTCAAATATGCCCTAAACTTCTAGCCAACCGCTGGTGAAACACTTCAGTGTGATGACAAACAATAATTTAAAATGAGAAACTTTTATACCTAACATGGCATGGGAAAGTAGATGTGAGGCCCAAGAGACAAACTTACTTTGTATCAACAAAAAAAAAAATGGGGTAGAGATTGTGGATGTGAAATCAGTATCACATAAACTGTGGATGGTGTGATGCACGTTAATACATGTAGAATTTAAGGTTTGTGACTAAAAAAGCAAAAGTTTCTGGTTTGATCCCCATATTGGGTGGTGATTGTGCAGTGGATAAGACACATGCCTAAGAGACCCGGGTTCGAATCCACTGTGAGACACCAATGTGTCTCTGAGCAAGACTCTTAACCCCTAGTTGCTCCAGAGGCGTGCAATCTCTGACATGTATAGCAATTGTAAGTTGCTATATATAAAATACTTCCTGGTGGCTGAATCATACAGCCCTTCAGGTGTGAATAGTTTACTGTAAAAAAAAAAATATTGTTGGTTTAACTTAAAGTAAGTAATCTGGTTGCCTTAAAATTTTAAGTTGATTGAACTGGAAAAGTTGAGTTAATACAATGAAAGATTAATTTAATCATCAGAAACTCAAAATACTAAGTTATCTGAACTAAATACATTATTTAAGTTGATTTGACAAAAGAAAAAAATGTTGTGATAGCAAATCTTGAAAACGTTTTTTTTTTTTTTTTTTTTTTTACAGTGTACTTAAAACCCTGCATGCAAATCAAATTGTCTCAAGTAACTTGAGTTTGAGACTCCTGCTTTAAGGGATTGCTCTGTGATAAGTGTACAATTTGTTGCCGCTAGAGATTCTGTTCAATTCTTCCCAACACATAGAATCTAAACAAGTCATTTTTTAGCATCAGGAAATAGTGAATGTGCTCTATAAAAATGTCTAGAGACAGGGGAAGATGAAGGATTCGAGCTGCTCGCTGGTTCTCCTGAAGAAACAGATGGATAGATGAGCCAGTTCTCTTTCACAGCGTCAATTCGCCAAACATCTTGTATCCTGTCACAATCTGAAAAACCTCCAGCATATTCCTTCATTTCAGAGCCAAAAGTGAATGTCCCCGGAGATGACAGCTGTGGATGTGTCGTGTCCGCCGTGTGCCAGGACGTGAGGTGTGTATCAGCAGTGACAGCTGGGCCGATTCTGAGTGACTCAGCGATGACAGGTGACACCAGAACAGTCCAGTCCGTTAGGTATGTGCACATTTTCTATACTCCAGGTTTCTGACTCAGCACTTCCCTAAAGTTTTGCAAGATGTCAAGTGTATCCAGATTATCTAATGAGAACTTGATGGTGCGTGAAATGCAGATCAAAGCACATTCGACTGATCCACTGCACCTTGAAATGAGATCATTCACTAACGTCACAGCAATACTGCTCATCAGCATATATTGTGTTGTGGATGCTGGTGTCCCTATCGGGCATCTTAACTAGCTTTATTAGCCTCCCTTGGTCAGACATTTCCTAATTTTTGTTGTGAGAAATGGTTTTTCAAATATGAGCTGAATTTTCAGTGGCACAATGGACTGTAAACAGCGTCAAGGTTTGTTCACAACTATCAGGTTTATTTCTAAGCGGTTACTGGCAGTTGCTAGTTGTCTTATAGTCAAAAGAGTGAATTACTGATATTCTGGTCCTTATTTTTCAAGTCAAAGTCGAAAAACAAAAACTTTTCTGCTTAGAAAAGTAAATACAGGTTGGGCTGCGTTTCCCAAAAGCATTGTAAGTTTATCGTAGAGCAATTGTCTCCAGTGGTCTCTATGATCAACTTAAAGTACAGTAGGCTTACGATGATTTTGGGAAATGCAGCCATGCACAATTGGAGTTATAATTCATGATCATAGCACAAACAATGCAGTAAGTTTACCAAGCAGAAGGTTAAAACATAGGGCCCTATTTTAACGATCTGAAACGCAAGTATAAAGCGCGAAGCGCAAGTAACTTTGTGAGCGGGTCTTGGGCGCTGTTGCTATTTTACCGGCGGGATAAATGACTCTTGCGCCCGACGCAAGTTTAAAAGGGGTTGGTCTGAAGTAGCTTCATTATTCATAGGTGTGGTTTGGGCGTAACGGAAACAAACCAATAAGAGCGTCATATCAAATTCCCTTTAAGAGCGTGATGAACGAGGTGCGCTTGTTCCATGGCCCAATTCTTCTAACGGCGCATTTACCAGGCGCGCATCACAATCAGTTCACAGCTGAGGAGATCGATAATCTTGTCAGGGCCGTAAAAGAAAGAGAAGGGACATTGGGGATGGGACAAACCCACCCAAATAAGCTTCTGTTAAACATGCATATAATAATTTTGGGTAAATGTGTAAATATTTTTGCCATCGTCATGGACACAACAATGATTTCCCTCGTGTTTAATTATTTGTTCTTATAATAATGTATCATTTGCAAAAAGTAAAATGCATCCGTGTTGATGAGAGAATCATCTACAGTGTATGTGCGTTGTTCACTCTGTATTATGGCCAAGCATGTGCACTTAAAATAGCATCTGAATGTACACGCAACGCGCCACTGAGACTATTAGACAATTTTTTTTCTGGTCAGTGGCGCAATTGTTTTCTGGAACTGCAAAATAGCACCAGGGATTGTTTGCGGCGAAACACGGCTCCTTTTTGCGCCGACCCGCTCAGGGAGCGCAAGTTCATTCCCTAGAATTTTCCGCTTAGCGCGGGTGCAAAATAGGAATGATACATGGGTCAGTGTACAAAGTCATTTGCGCCGGGTGCAAGATAGGGCCCTTAGGGTTGATAAAATCACTAACCCCAAGTATGAACAATAGTAGTGATTATTATCTATCTATAAATTATAGAAACGTCTGTGTGTCTGTCTGTTTTCGCATGTCTCTCGAACCGTTGAAAACTTGACAAGTGTCTTGCTACGGGCACGAGTAAGTGCAGTGCCGAGTTTGACATTGTTTGGATTAGATATGCAAAAGATAGCTAAACATTAGTTTACTTCTGATTACTATATTTTATTCACGGCCATCATAGCGCCGCGTAGCGTTTTTGTGGAGTTCACTGTGTACCCTGAATCGCACAAATAAAAAAAGTCACTGAAGTTTTGCAGTGCAATAGAGAGCCTAAGTCCCGCCCCTCCGCTTCCGGCTCATGGGACCTTATTTCAGAAAAAAATATGAATGGTAGTCAATGGCGAGAGACAGCTTATCTTTTTATTCCGTCTGAACTGTGCCCTGAATTACACATATGATGTTTGTCAATTTAAAAGATAATTCTGAAAGTCAAAAACGTCGCAGTTTGTCATAAAACAGAAGAGTAACATTTAGTTTAATGTGAAAATCGCTCTATGAACTACATATCCCGGGAAGCGAAACAACGAGTGAGATCCGCTGCTCGTGTGTGTGCAGTTTGGTACAAAACAATCAGGTATGACGGCGTAACGTTACGATTATAACGTAAGACTATAGAAACAATGACAGACATTAGCCTCAGTAAAGTTAGCTTCATTCATTGAGAGAAAATGTGCACCTTTGGGGTTTGTAGTCTTTGTAATTACGTATTTTAACAGTCTTATACCTCAACGGTTTTACATCAAACTGCGACTTTCTTTACTTTAAAATGTATCTTTTAAATTGACAAACATCATATGTGTAATTCAGGGCATAATTCAAACGAGATCAAAATATTTGTTGTCTCTCGCCATTGACTACCATTCAATATTTTTCCGAAATAAGGTCCCATGGTGGTCGACCGGAAGGGGAGGGACTTAGGCTGTCTATTGTAACAATGAGCACTCAAACACACCAAACCAACAATAACCAAAAATACACACAAAAAATGATTTTGCACGGGCACTTTGCACTAGTTTTATTAACACCAAAAATATACAACATCTAGCCATCACAGCCATGTAATGTATTTAGAAAATAAACAGATGTAAACACAAATAAATGGAAACACTGAGGTTATGAGTATCACTTTGTGCCTAGTGAGTATATGAGGCCAAATATACAAAGTAATAAACAAATAGAATAAATATTTTAAACCGATAAATATAGCTGAAGTATGACTGTACTTTATTACAAG